AAAGTACTTTAAAGTGTATAAATAAGTTACCCGGACAATTAATTTACATTAGCCAATCATATGAAAGTCTGACTATGAGCACCGACCACTTCGTTATAACGGGTTGCCTTTGTAAGCTGAATGATTTAATAGATTGTTTTATTTTAATATTGCAAATTAATTGAATTTTCAAACTATTATCAGATGCTTATTGGTTATTATTGAGGGTTTCTAGCCACATTAGATCACATGTCCGGGGTTTTTTTTTGGCGGGAATTGCATCCAACAAAATAAGAATGCTACCAGCCCAACAAAAGCAAATCAGACACAAAACTGAAAATATAGAAAACAGACGCTTAAATCTAGCTTGAAATACTAATTAAAAATGTCGGAAAGACGATTTTATATTGATCTCAACTCTAAGTTTAACCCTTACTCTAATTTTCCGATACCGGTTTAGCATGAAATCTAGTACTAAACAAGCGCTTGAACAATTTTGATATTAAAAACTTTTTTATTAGGGTGAAAACTAGTAAATACATTTTTATTACTTGAAATCAATAAATGCATACTCTAAATAACAAGATTAATTATTGTAAATCTAATATACACAGTTTTTCAACAAGAATAAAAAAAGTTATCGTCTCATAAAAGCATCAATTGTTTATTTTTGCTTAAACGGCGTATCGTATATTTATTTGCGTCAAAAGATGGTAATACAATACAATCGACACGCTGATTGTGAATCCTCAAAAGTGAACGCTTGATACTTTTTATCCATTTATCAAGAAACTCCGCTAACAGCCAACCTGCAATGAAATTAAAAATTAATTATTACTTTTTTTTGGGCATGAGACTCAAAAAAAAAATTAAACTTACTTTTTCAGATGTTCCATAAATACTTGTAAACTGACATCATCTGTGAAAATAGCTTGTCCTTGTGGCACGCCGTATCCAACATTTGATACGTGAGTTGTGGATGGATTTAATTTTGATAAAAGAAAACGTGCTTGTGACCCGTTTTGATCGCAAACAATGTATCGTGGAATCGGGAATCGATCTGAAAGAAGCTCCTAAATAATTTTTATTATTAATATTGATCGAATATTATATGGCAAGTATTAATTAGTAACCCATGTAATAAATTACTCTTCATCAAAAATTTATTAAATAATTAAAGCATACTTCAGAATCGGCTTTTGGTGCTTCCAAAAGTTCTTTGAAATTCTCGTAGCCAGGTTGATCTTGATAACCAGCCTTCCGCCATTGAGCGATCGTCTCACCGTGAAAGATAAGAATATGGAAGAAGGTATCAAGCAACAAAATCACATCTGGTTTGATTGAAATAGAGTCGAGTAACACAGGTTGTGATTGTGAATCTATTGCATAAGACATCAGCGTAGGTTGTATCATTATAAGTGAATTGTTTACATCCTCACGATTTAATACGTGTCTATATTCCATCAATTTAAAGGGAGATTAATCAAAATCGTAGAGAAATTAAATACGATCATCGGGACGAGTAAAAATGTTACCGATAGAAAGCGGTCTCATCAGGGCTATTATTAAAGACTTGCAAGAACTGACTTCTTCGTAAATGGAACATAAACTGTGGATATATAGAAAAGTTTTCCGATAATCGGAACGAAGACGGATCGTCTTTCCTAAAATCAGCAAATTTTTGACACAACCTTATCAACATGCGATCCAACCATCTCAACACATCCGGCCCGTCATCAATCTCCGCTTTGAACACCGCAATTCGAGCCATGAGAACAGCAGCAGCCTCTTGGTCAAACGATCCTGCAATCTGTGGACTATTTCCCTCAGCAAAGTTTCTGGCGACAGTTGTGACACGTAAACGAAATTGCCCGCTTGAATGTTGATAATGTGTCACGAATTGAATTAGACCACGCATGCCAGGTGCTAGTGGTTGACCATGCTGGTTAACTACTTCGAAATAGACGGCGCAAGTTGTCTTTGGTGTGATACCGCACATTTTCCATTCGGAAGTATTGGCAATACCGATTTCTGTTTCGGCGACTGATGGACTCTTTTTGTTAGTGGAAATCGCGTGCCCTATTAATCCACACACCCTCATTTCTCGTGTAGTCTAATACGTAATAAACGAATCAATAAAAATTATACTTGCAAATTTAAAATAATATAGTTAATTAATAAACATACCTGAACATCGAGCGTTGCATTAAAGCCCATTTGCAAATTTCCTTGAGCATCCTTATTAAATACTCGTTGAAAACTCTGTTTGAAAATTGCAGTGGTGAAAGAATCCGAAAGAATCATAAATCCACCGGTAGAATTGACCAAAGATTTCATTTCGAGTAACCCTATTTGATCAAGACATCCGGCAAAAATATCAACAATATGACCATTTTGTGAAGCGCGTTTTGCAAGTGCTTCGTAAAACTAATGAATTTAAATCAAAGAAATAAATTGACCAATTTAATAATTTTCTTCAATAATATTATTGAAAATGAAAATAATTCACCTTTGTTGCTTTCTTATAATATTTGATGTTGTCTTTCTCAATGTCATGATGAGATCGTATAGGTTCTTTCAATTCATTACCCACAACCATTCCAGGACCTTCTGTTGCAGCGCCACCAGCAAATAACATAATGCGACATCCAGTATTTGGAAAAGTACTCTATGAAATAATTAATTAATTCATATTTAATATCGAAATACATGTATAGGAGATTTAGAATCTTATTTCAAAAATTTACCTCCATCAGACCAATCGCGACACTTATAGCAACACCGGTACATCGTTGTGGTCGTTTATCATTATTAACAGGCCATGGATCACGCTGCAATTGTTCGAGTATGGAAGTCAATGTAAACTCACATTGTTGAACCGGTAAAAGAAATCTATTATTAGAATGATAACATAAACAAATAATTATGTAATTGTTGACTAAGCGAGTAGAAATTTATTTTAAATAAAATCAAAATACCTGCTAGCACCAAGATTTTGTACTCCAAGCGTTTGGCCAGGTTTTTGCATTTGTGGACGAATAACGGGAGCGGACAATCCAAGCATCTCTTGAATTTGCTTAGAGGCGTACTCCTTAGTACCACGAAACACATAAGATTTAGGACATTCACTGTATCCAAGTTCATGAACTTGAGTCTAAAATAAAAAAAATTAATTTCACAAAAAAATCGATAATTTCGCGATAGCCTGACAAATATTTACCATAGTCCCAAAAGTTATTAATCCAACCAATGCATGCGGCGGCAACAAACTCAAGCTAACCACCAACGAATCTTTCAACGCCTTTAAATCATCATCCTCCAAACACGTATCTACCACAAACAAAAATATCGGCGGAATCTGTGCTCCTCGTGCAAATGTATACTCGATCGTGGTGTATTTTGGCAGTAGTTCCGCTGGGAGGTTGGTGTTAGATATATCTTTGTAATGTGGTGGAAAAGCGTTTCGTTGAAGACAGAAGGGACAGATCCATAATTTTCCGCGTACGTCAATTTGACTATCATTGATGAAAATGAAAATTTAAAACATTCATGATTATCAAATTGATTTCATTTGATCGAATCAGAAAATTTGAATTCATTTATCAAAAAATATGAATTGCAAGGGACGCAGGGAATGAGGGAACGAGAAAAAAGTTATACCAGTATGGGTTCAATATAGCTCGACAAGGTGACTTACAAGTCACTGGCTCATAAAAAATCGGTGGTAGGTCTTCTCTCTCTTTTAGCGGGGTATATAAGCACGAGATTGGCACAACAGTTCTAGTAGCGTCAAGACGAGAATGTGGGAACACGTTCCAAGAAAAACGGGTTCCGTCTTGTTCTTCAAGTTCTTCGAAATTCATTGTTTTTCTAATAACTAACTATAATATCTTTCAAAAACAAAAATTTCTTAACAGAAATTAGTTTTAAGACGCGGTGAGCAACCTATTTTCTATTTGTGCGAATTATAATGTGTCAGTTTCTGATAGGAAAAAAAAATGCGCAGTATTTTGCACCAGATTTTAAAAAATTATAATTCTCTTATTTCGATAATATATGAAAGAAAATAAATCAAATATATAATAAATTTTGTAAATTATATATTTTTATAAGTTTATATATATCAAGAAAATAAAATATTATTTTAATATAATAATATAATAATACTTAAAAATTTCAGTTATTTCTTTCTTTTATTAATTTTAAATTAGATAGGTTTATTATAAATTTAATATATAAAATTTTATTATTAATTATATTAATTAATAAATATATTTTAGTTAAATATCATTAATTGATAAATATATATTAGAATTAGATAAAAATATTTATTAATAAATATTTATTAATAATATTACTAGTTTTATTTAAGAAATTAGATAATTATATAATAAATAAATAAATAGAAATTTTTTTATTATTAATAAAAATTCAAAAAATAATATTATTTTAAATAAATCTTTCTTTATTTTTATAATTATTTTTATTTTTAATTAATTTTTTACTTTTTTTTATATATATATTTTAATTTATTTTATTTAATAATTAATTTATTTTTAATTTATATTAATTTTATTTAAAAATTAATTTATTTTTAATTTATATTTTATTTAAAAATTAAATATTAATTTATATATATTAAAATTACTATTTCTAAAATTATTAATTTAAAGTTATATTTAATATAATTATATATTTATTTTATATATTATACAGTGATGATCAAAAGTAATGACTCAGGGGCTAAATTTACTAATAAAATATAGTGAAAATTGAAATTTTCTCT